GAAACAAAGAAAGAAGTCATTAACAGAAAGTTAATTAAAGCAATTTGGGGAATCAAAGGAAGAAAATGGGCAAATCTCCCAGCAACGAGGACAGCGGGTGGAATACTTATTGTTTGGAAAGAAGAGGCGGTTACTGGATTAGAAGTAGACAAAGGGGAGCTTTCCATTTCTATCCATTTCACAAACATTTCTGATGGGATCAATTGGATTCTGATAGGCGTGTATGGGCCTAATTCTCCATCTTAGAGAGGAAGATAATCAGAGGAATTGGATTCTCTGCATGAATCTAAGGACCTGCTTTGGTGTGTTGGTGGTGACTTCAATGTCACGAGGTATTGTAGTAAGAGTTCAAACTGTAGGAGAGTAGCAAGAAGAGTAGAAAGCCTTATGTGCTGATTTCGGCCAAGCTTCTTGTGAAAGGAAGAGGAGAAAATTGGGGATTTCAGCAATAGACAGAGGAAAGGGAAGAAAAGAGAAGAAGGTCGACTAGGATAGTGATCATGAACCCTAGCCGCCAGCCCCTCATTCTATTTATAATTAACTTAAATATGGGATATTACAAAGATGCCCCTAGTAGGGCGGCAAACTTAACTAAGTACTTACAATTCCTTTAAAAATAAAAGACTAATGGGCCCAAGGCCCAACAACTTCTTAAAATAAAAGAAAACAAACTAAACATAAATCGGCCCAACATAAATAAACCCACTCAACAAGAAGCATGAAGGATTTCTCAAATTTTATTGCTAGGCACAATCTTAAAGACCTCTCTCTTAGCAACGGCTCCTTTACCTGGTCTAATATGCAGGAGTGTGCAGTAAGCAGCAAATCGGATAGGTTTCTCATATCCAATGACTGGGAGGAACTATTTCCCAACTATGTGCAGTCTATTAGGCCCTGTTGAACCTCTGATCATTATCCGGTGACTCTACAGAATGAAGTCTACGGAAAAGGAAAGGCACCTTTCAAGTTGGAAAAGGTTTGGACTACTCACAAGGACTTTCAGCAAAAAGTTTCTGAATGGTCGAAGGAATGCAAAGTGGATGGTTGGGCAGGATTTCGGTTTTAGCAGAAGTTAAAACATTTAAAAGGGAAGCTAAAAGTCTGGGGTAAAGAGGAGTTTAAAAAATTTGTGGAAGACAAGAATAAACTAACTCAAGAGCTAGATGAACTGGACGAAAGAGAGCAATTGGGGAATTTGGATGAGAATGGTAGAAGCAGAAGAGAAACTCTTAAAAAGGATTGGGAGAAGCTTATAAGAAGGGAAGAAATCTTTTGGAGGCAAAGGTCTCGAGTGAGATGGCTGAAGGAGGGAGACAATAATTCAATGTTCTTTCATAGTTATGCATCAAGGAGAAGAAGGAAAAATTATGTCTCAAAGCTGAAAGTGGGGCAGAGAGAGACAGAAGACAAATGAGAAATTTCAAAAGCCATTGAGTAGTTTTTCAAAGGTTAAAGATGGTTCCTGTAGAATTCCTTTGAATAACTGGGAGGGACCTAAGTTGTCGGTGGACAAAAAGTTGAGGCTAGAAAGAAGCTTTTAAGAGCAAGAAATTAAGGAAGCAGTAAGATGGATGGTGATAGAGCTCCTGGTCCAGATAGATTCCCTATTCTTTTCTTTCAGTTATGTTGGGATACAATTAAGCCTGATCTGTTGGAGGTGCTTTCAGATTTCTACCTTTCAGCCATCATGAATAAAGGTAACAACTCGACCTTTATCACCCTAGTTCCAAAGAAAGAGGGGACCTTGGAAGTTAAGGACTTCAGACCTATCAGTTTGGTGAGGTGCTTATACAAAATTGTGGCTAAAGTTCTGGCGACTAGACTAAAGGAGGTGCTGAAAGATTTAATTTCAAGCAACCAATCTGCCTTTGTGGAAGGGAGACAAATTATTGACAATATACTTGTGGCTAACGAATGTATAGAAGAAAAAAGACAAAGTGGCAAGGCAGGGGTGGTAATCAACCTGGATCTGGAAAAGGCCTGCGACAAAGTGGAATGGGACTGCTTGGTGGAGATTCTAAACCTGAGAGGCTTTGGAAGGAGATGGTTAGGAATGGCAACAGAGCGGAGCAGGGAAGGGGAGCCTCTCCCCATCCCCGTCCCCACAAAAATCTCCATCACCGTCCCCGCTAATAGGGACAAGGTTATCCCCATCCCCGTCCCCACGGGGATCCCCATTCCCTATGATTTTTTATAATGTTAACCATTTTGTTTTTGTTTTTTATTTTATTCAAAAAATAAAGTTATAATAATTAAAATTTACAATCCTATTAGAAAAGATTCAATCATATTTTTAAAAATATTAAAATATAGACGTATGCGTACATATATACATATAACGTATGCATACATATATACATATATAACGTATGCATACATATTATACATATATATTAGCGGGAATCCCACGAGGCGAGGATTTGGGTCCCCACAGGGCAGGGAGTGCTCTCCCCATCCCCGCTAACGGGGATGAAAATTTCCCCATCTCCGTCCCTGCAGGGGGAAAATCATCCCCATCCCCACCCCATTCGGGGCAGATCGCCACGGGGATCGGGGAAATGGGGAAAATTGCCATCCCTAGAGATGGTTAGATGGATTAGATGGTGCATAAGTTCTGCTTGGTTTTCAATCCTAATAAATGGAGAAACTACTAGATATTTTAATGCTGACAGGGGCCTGAGACAAGGTTGCCCTCTCTCCCCCCTACTCTTCACTTTGGTAGCTGATATCCTCAGTTATTTACTCCAAAAAGTGAGGGAGCGAAACCTGCTGAAAGGGTTTGAGGTAATTAGGGAAGAAATTCAGATACTCACTTGGCGTTCATGGATGACATAATCTTGTTTTTGGAGGCAGATTGGGAAAACATTTCCAACCTAAAAAGGGTGTTAAACATTTTTGATCCGGTGACTGGTCTTAGAATTAACTTCAACAAAAGCAGTATTGTGGGCTTAAATGTAAATGACTCTCTACTGGAAAGGTTCAAGGAGCTATTAGGTTGTAAATTGGAGAAACTCCCTATCACCTATTTGTCTGGGAACCTAGCCCAAACACCTTGACTTTTAGCAACTAGGCGCCCTTCTAGGCGACTAGGCACCCGCCTAGGCGACTAAGCGCCCGCCTAGGCGACAAAAATGACAAGGCCGGCACCTTTTTTAATATCATTTATATTGTTGTATCTTATTAATGTATGTGTTAATACATACATACATATATAATATATATAGATATATCTATATATATATATATAGATATATAGATATATATCTCAATATACTTTGTTTTAATGTTTTACTATTGAAATTTAAAACATCAAACGGTTTTGAGGAGAGGAAAAGAAAGAAAGAAAGAAAGAAAGAAAAGGAAAAAAAGAATAGAATTATAAAGAGGTTCTGTTTTTTCTATTCTCTCTCTAATTAAATAAAACAAAAACTCCACCCTTGTTTTTTCTATTTTACTTTTCATCTTGAATACTTATCATAAAAAGCTGACCTTCTTTAGCTGCTAATTGATATAAAATTCCCTATTATATCCTTATTATAGCAGTATTATTTTTGAAAACAATTAAATTAATATATGTAAAAGATTTGTATCTTTTAGATGTGATGATTTGTCACATTTTTAGAGGAAATTTAATGTTCTTAATAAAGAGAATTGCTATTTTTCAATTAATATACATGCTGAATGGTATATAAAACTAGGGAACTAGCCAAAAGTTAGATTTTTATATTATAAAATCTTATCGCCTAGGCGACTAGGCGCCCCAGTGTCGCCAGCATCGCCTAGACGCCTTGAAAACAGAAAACTATGTTTTCAACATGTTGAAATGGTAATTCCTAAAGATACAAATAAAAATTCTAATGTTGTTGATTTCTTCATCCCTACAATTCTCAATGTCAAGCTTGTTTTTCATGCATTGGCTAGATTAATAGTTCCTCCTCACTTCAAAACTCGAGTACAAGTTTTTTTTGAACCAGGAGGCAGAGAAGAATGATGCAAATATGGAAGCAAAGAAAGAAATGGAAGACAAGAGGTCAGATTGCAACCTGAAGAATGCATGCTGACCAAACCTATTTGACCAGTCAAATGTTTCTTGATTTGGCAGAATTTTGGTGGCATTGGAGTATCCTTATAGTACTCTAACATTATAGAATTTCAACTCAATCCAGCATTTGGAAGTTCCCCAACTAAAGACTTCACGTTGGCTGGTTTTTGGGTTCTGGCGTTCTGCAAGTACTGCTCTAAGTCCTAGTCAAGAAGTTGACCAGTAGACTCTAATAGCTTTAATAGTAATTCCCATCATTTCTATTTATAGTAACTTTCGTCACTATTATTTATAGTAATCGATGACTTACAATTTAATAATTTTTTGTTTCTTATATTTAGGAGAATCAGAAAGGTTTGGTGTGCTAGTTTAAAAGGAAAGTTTCTTTTTTTTACTTAAGCTTGAATGCAAGTACAAGCTAGAGACCAAATAGAAGTTGGAAGTTGCCACTTTGAGTCTACAAAAGACTGTCAACAGGTCTTGTAGAGAACAATTTATTCTATTCAATTGTCTTCCCCTACTAAAGACTGAACAAAGAATTATTTTTTCTGTTTCTACCACAGCCAGTAGTATAGTAGAACTTATTCTTGTTCCCTCTTCTATTTTCTCTTCTTTGCCTTCCAAATAATGTTTGTGGCTGCAGCCTATTGTTGATATTTTTCTGTTAGAAATTTTCTGCTTAGAGAGAGAGTCAATAACAGATGTTTTAGACACCTAATATTAATCATCCAAAAAAATAGTTCTCCCAACCCCACCCCCACCCCCTACATTCACATAAACACACTCAGATACCAAAATAATAAAAAAATAAAAAATAAAAAAAAACTACATATAATTTTAAGTTTGAAAAAGTATCTTTTACCATTGATGTTCTGAATTCTGATCAGATGTTACAATATATCACTGAGAAAAAAGAAACTTAAAATGTTTCAACAATTTTAACATGAAACATAAGTACCTTGACAAGCCTTTGCAGCAAGGGAGGAAAAGCAGTAAAGAAAACAATAGATGCTCTGAGGCGGGTTATGGTAAAGGACAGTAATCCAGAGTCTGTAACCTGATTCAAAAGGAACACTGTACTCCTCAGATAAGACTTAATCAGTGGTTTCATAGTTTTCCATTTTGAACTGTTCATCATCGGCAAGATGGTGTCCTTGCAATTGGAGTTTGAAATCCCTAGTTGTCGTCGAAATATATTATCAGCTTCACAGAGCATGAACATCAGTATCTTGCAAAAAGTCTCACTCTTTTCAATCTTTCTACATGTTACATCAGTTCCATAGTGGCATGCTGCCCTGTACCCATTTAGTAGACTAGGAAGAGCATGCACTCTATTCTGCTTCAGAACAAATTCACACCACGAATCAATGGTTGAGCTGGCCAGGACCTTGCTCTCATTTAAATTTAAGCCACCACCATTTTCTATTGAAGTCCCATGATTACTTATCTCAACGTCTCCACCAGACAACTGTTACAGATGAGGATGAAGAAGATTAATGGAATGTAATTTTCGGATAATAAATGACAAAACACAACTTTAAAAGATGGAAATATAATTTTAAAATTTCAAAGACATCCATTGACAAAGAATGAGAAAAATTAGCAACGCACCATTCTATGAGGCCCTTTTCTACATGTTCAACATGTTATAAATTCCAACTTTCCAAGCCCATCATAGAAGGCTAACTAAAATTCTTATACAAGTCCTGTGCTTAAATTTAAGACATCTAACTGTTACAAAAAAAGGTGTGGCACAATAGTTGAGATATGGAAGAAATGAAAAGAAATATATACATGGACAAATAAAATACTTACCCAAATCCCACATCAATTTCTGAATTTTTGGTGATAGGAAAAAATGGTACTTTCAGTCTATTGAATTTATTTTCCACCTGTAGGTTCCTTAGAAATAGAGCTTTTAAATCTTCTAGAAATTTACTATTATTAATTATTAGTTGTTGATAGTGGTCAACTAACCAGGGGTATTCTTGTCTATTTATTTAACCTTATATTAGGAGTTAGTTTACAGATCTGTCCCAGCATTAAGTTGCTATCCCCACAATTATGGACAGAACTGTCTTTGAGTGTGTATCAATGTATGTATGTGGACACACACATTCAGGGGAAGAAGTACAAAACTTTCCCATTAGAGGAGAACGGAGAAGAGGGGATGGAAGCGGATTCAGGGGAAGAAAATGAGTCTGAACCAATGATTGATGAGACCCATATGGTAGAAAAGTCTATTAACATCGAGGAAGTGGTAAATAGGAGAGTGAAAGTTAGCAAAATTTTGGGTCTGTTTTTTCTAGGAGGGGATGAATTCGCAAAAGAAGCCTTTAGATCTGTGGAAGAAACATTTGGGAAGAAAGAAAGTCTGATAGATCCAGTGGTTAATCCTAATTGCGATAATTCAACAAGGCAAGAGGTGGAAGTGACTGCCGGAGGTTGTGGGACTTCATAGAGGAGCCAGAAGAAGTGGTCGAGGGGGTGATGGTTGAAGACAGGGGTCAGAAATTAGTGGGGAATTCTGAAACAATGGTGGGACGTCTAAATGCAGTCAGAAGATTCAGAACTCAAAAGCACAAAAAATTACAACAGTAGACCCCAGTCTCTAAGGTCTTCACAAGGTTAAAAGGTGGTCTTTTTGTACTCAAAACTGAGAAAGATGATTAAATCTGCTTGTTGGCATTTGGGTGTCTGGCTTGGACTTATGTTGGGCGCCAGGCTGGTTTGATATTTTGGTTTCCTTTTGTCTTTTGCCTTGTATTAAATTGTTATGGTAAGGGGCTTTTGTTAGAAGGGTCTTCGTAGCTTGGTTCTGGTTTTGGTTGATTTGGGTTTGTTTTTGTCTCATTGGAGTTAAGTTTGGATTGGCCTTTCCTTACGGGTGATTGCTTATCACCTTCCTTGTATCTTTCTTTTTGTTTTTAATAAATTCTTTTATTTTATCTTCAAGAAAAATGTATGTATGTGCATAGATCTGGCTGCCTGGTGAGGATATGCTCTTTTCCTCTCCTCTCTGCTTTTCTTCTCCAATTGTTCTCTCCTTTTCACTCTTCTCTTTCTTACTCTTTCACAAAATGAATATCATTTACATAGTATCACAGCACTCCAACCACATTCAGACTGTTATCTCCCCTGGAAACATTCTTGTTCTTTCTTGGGCTTCTTAACAAAAACAGGTTCATGGTGTGTATGTGTGTGTGTGGTATGAGCCCTCTAACAAAAAGTTACCAAGAAGGTTTCTGTGCTGTGGTGTATTGTGGCAGTTAGATTTTAAGGATTGTTTTCGGCTGTGGCTTCTCATACCTGGGACCAAATCAGTAGAGGTTTTCCGTTTTCCGTTTTCCTCAAGCAAAGAGGAGGTTAAAGTACTGAAGAATGCAAAACGGGCAACTACGATCAGTGATTAAGATGATTGTAAGCAGAAAATGCCAAAATCATGACCTGGTTGTGGAATAGCATGGAGCCTAAGGTGAGTGTTAATTTCATGTTTTTAGACACTGCTAAGGAAGTTGGGGAACATGCACAAAGGATGCATTCTAGAAAAGATAACACCACTTGTGTGAATCAGTTGTTTCAAGAGTACTTCCACTTGCAACAAGGTGAAAAAAGCATAGAGGATTACTAACTAGCCTCAAGAGTAAAGAGTATCATGAATGAGCATGACACCTACTAACATCTTAGTTCAAATATTAAAATTCAGCAACAGAGGGAACAATTTGATGTAGCTCATAAAAGTTTGGGGCTTACGCCAAAATTCAAGCCTGCTCATGTTTAGATATTGGATAGTGCTGAACTAACTTCATTAAGGAGGTGTTTGCACAAAACATAACGTACCATTAGGTTCTACAAAGACAATTACTGCATAGGATAAGTCAGCACTAGTGGTAGCTAGGGGTGAAGGGCGTAGTGCTTGCTACTAGTAGTGTTGGTCATGGTAATAGAGGAGGTCATAGCCTCATAGGATTGGTCCCATTAAGAAAGGAATTGGTGGGCGTGGAGATGGATCCAAACAAATTGATGTATGTGGCAAAAGTGGACATGGACCACAAATGTGCACCCATAGTTGTCAAGGCGACAAGGCACCCTTTGAGCAATGCACATCCAAAGCAATTTGAAAAGAGGAAAGGCTTCTTGATGTATAAACAAGCAGTCAAGCAAATTTATCACAATGCCAATACCAAGCTAGCCCTATCATCTAACTATGAACTCTTCAAATCCTTTCTCACCATTGAAAACCATAAGGCTTTCCAGTATGCATATAAAGTAACTCACTTCTGGCCCTATATTACAATTTTGCCATCAACAAAGAATTCAACATTCAGTTCCTCTTCAACAAAAAACCAGTAAAATGCATCAAAGGAAATAGACCAAGGCTAATATGTCAGAACAAGATGGTCAAAAAATATGTCAAAACAGGGAAATCAAAAAATAAAACTTAAGGACTTACATTCTCTTCACTTCCGAATTGCTCAAGGTCCTTAATATGGCTGTCCAAAAAGTTTGAAAACTCTGGGTCCTGAATAAGTCAAACAACCTACTTCAGTGAATGAATGGACAACAGGGAACTTGAGCATTAGAGTAGGGAATAAACAAAAGGGACAAAAAGAGATCTAACATCCTAGTGTATAAGAAAAAAGATAGAAACTTTGTTGAGATCATTCACATTCTTCAATGATCTTAAAATTTAACATTCAATCCAAATTCAAGTCATAAAATGATTCAAATAGGACCCAGTAGTCCAGTACAAATCACAAATTGGAACATAGGAATTGCTTTTTCATATATTTTGATAATCTAAAGAAATATGAGAACACACTTCAATAAGTTCACCAAATACAAAATTTCAACCGCTGTTTGTTCTCATTCTCCTTAAATCCACCCCCAACCACCATCCTTAATCCCTTCATTGGAACCTAAAATAGCGGAATATAACAGGTCTAGAATCAACCCCCTTATTAATATGTTTTGGTCCTTGTCAGGACATTATTGGGTCTGCAAAGTCTACCTAGCGTGCTAAACAGCCCTACCCTCATTTACCTCCATTCCTCTCTAATCATGTAACTGTTTTTCAAAATACTTCCAAATTTGTCTATACACATAACCACTAGTAAGAAATAAAAAAGAATGATCCAAGAAAATTACAAGTACCTGTGATCATCTTTTATTCTTCTTTTAAAAAATAATTATGTCATCACCTGGTTATTATCATTCCAACATAACAAAATGGCATGACAATAATAACCTGTTCCATCATTCACATTCATCATGAACTTCTCATGGCTTGACCTGCTTGAAATTTTTGAAATAGACACCCACTCAACCAAAAGATAACCAATATCCATGTATACCCTTGATATGATCCATGAAAGTTGGGAAGATCATTTCATTAAACTTTTACAAACAACCCAAGAGAAAGTGTAAGGCAGTGGTGACAGCAGTCTATACTCTGAAAATCTGGTTGGAATATGTCTGAAACAGAGAGAGAAGAAAGGGGGAGAAGGAGCTAGTCAGACCCCTAGATGGGCTGCCTACATACCCTCCAGTAAGGGATCAAGCCATTGTAGTTTGTCGGAAATGGAATTCCGGCAAGAAAAAGAAAAGAAAATAACTGCTGATTGCAGGAAAAAATAAGAAAATGAGAGAGGGAAGGAAAGAGAGGAAATGGACCTCAATGGAAGCAATGGGTTGAGAAGTCCCTAAAATGGATATGGAACCCCATTTATAGAGTTTGGGTGAACTGCATTCCAAAAGTTTCTTGGACTATAGCTTTCTTACTCTTTTTTTTTTCAATTTTATCCTTTATTCTGGAATGTTACCTTATCTAATGCACATATTTAATTAACCTTCTAGAATACCCATAGCTTAATTTGAATGCTTTACTCTTTAGAATATTCCATTATTTGACTAAAAATCTAGAACACAAGCTTATATATTAAAGTTTTAGACTGCCCAACATTTGAATTGTTAATTAATTGGTCTGGAATAGACTGGTCTGACCTAGATTCAACCCAGGCCAGCCAGGTTTACATTCTCTCGCAATGCTAACCTCTTACATTAGCCCCCAGCTTAAATTTGGTTACTTGTAAACGGAGTTAAGCATAAGTCTCAATATTGTGGTCTTGTGAATCTTTGATATGCAAACACCACGAGTTTGTTTTACAAGCTTATAAGTTGAGCACGGTGCAACGAGTTTATGCATTATGGATTCATGCCTTTAGATATGCTTTATGCATGTTTAGAATTGCTTTTGAGATGGTGCTCTAGCAGTTTGCTTGTCGTTTACTTTGGGTCTGACATTTTTACAAGTTCGGTAGTTATTAGCGCCCAAAATTCCAAGGAATTTTAAGCAAAATTTTTCTAAAAAAAAATAGTGAATTAACCCCCCGAATTTTTTTGAAAATTTTAAGCAATTTTAGCTCTCACTGCTGGCTGTGGTATGAAAGAGTGATGTAGGGTCAGGGATATTAACTACATTTTATTGGGGGGGGAGGGGGGGGTGAAACTGTATTCACGAGGCTTTGCTGTAGAGGCTAAGTGCAGGAGCGAGTATACATGCATACAGATTGTACTCTTGTAGGATGCAAATTATTGTGCAACATTTAATACTAAGCTGCTCACTGGGTAAAAACTTTGGACGACTTCCAAGTATTCTCATTGAATGACATTCTGAGAACTTGGAATTTGGAAAGAAGTGGCTGTATCGGCCCAAGGAAAAGAAAAAATCTTTATGGAATGGAGACCCCAAGCAACAAATTTTGTGAAGCTTAATTTTGATGGAAGTTTCCTTGGATTAGGAGGTGTCTTCAGAGACTCAGGCGGAAAGGTGTTAACTATGTATTCAAGGCCTCTAGAAAATGGGGATGCACTGACAGAAGAACTATTTGAACTTCTACATGGACTAAAATTTTCCAAGCGTTTTGGATTCCTTAATTTGGAAGTGGAAGGGGACTCTCAGCTGGTCATCTCCTAGACAATATGTAGCACCCAAATTCCCTGGATCTATAGGCATACATTTAGGAAGATTGGGAGAATTGCATGGGAGTTGAATGTTATTTTCAAATGGGTGGGAAGAAGAGCAAATGGGATGGCGGATACTCTAGCTAAACAAGGGGCTATGAGACATCGAATGTTTTGGGAAAAACAGTAAAACTGTATTTTCGAGGAAAAACTTTCCCACCCTGTTGTAACTTTCTTATTATTGATAGAAGAACATTTAATACTAAGCTGTGTAAAGTGATGTACTCTGGAAGCAGAGTAGCAAAGTAACTGTAATCTACTTTTAAATTAATACATAAATTCTACTTTACTGATCAAAAAAAGCATTTAATACTAAACTGGCATTCGGTAGCGCTGAATCAACCTCCAAACACCGAAAATATTGCCTTTTCAGAGGTCAGAAGTCATTCGCTGCACCTCTAAATTGCCTCTCTGAACACCAAAAGAACATCCAAATCATTCAGTGCCAAGCTACCTATGAGCACATTCAAAGCTAGCGAACAAAATTTTGATTCCATCCATGCCCCTATCTCTCTTCCTCCCTCTTTCTTCTTTCTCCCTCATATCTCCCATGAGCAGAGGATGTAGAGGGGGACACAAAGTTGATCATCACATAGGTAAAAGTCATTTGCCAAGTCCATAGGATCTAAAGGCATGTCTTCAAGGAATTAGAATGTCTCTCAAGGGAGTTAAACACCTCATACATTTGGGTTAGAAGAACCACAAATGGGATGGTGGATTCATTAGCAAAACAAGCAGTTAATAGACATCAGCCGTTTTGGGCTTTAGTGTAAATCTTATGTATCCCATGTTTTTGGAATATCTCAGCCTGATGTACTAAACTTCTTCCACATAATTAATAAAATCCTCTTTACTAATCAAAAAAAAAAAGAATAACACCTGTGACATGTTCCAGAAGAAGGGACCAAATAGGTATCTATCACCCCCATATCTATACCCATTGTAAAGCTAGTGGTGAGTCTATTTCCCATTGACTAATCTCTTGTTCATTTGTGAAATGCATTTGGGTGTGATTTTGCTCTCTTTGGTTCCAGATGGGGTCCTTCTCAAGATAATATTAGCTTATTCGAACCCAAGTTCCTTAGTCAACCTAAAAAAAGAGGCAGGATTATGTGTAGGGCCACAGAAGCTGCAATACCTTGAACCATATGGGAGGAGAGGAATAACAAAATCTTCAAAGACAAATTAGAAATTTAGAACCAAGTGCACAATCATAGAGAGTATTACCATGAAAATTGTGCACTGGGTAAAAACAATCAAGATCTTCAAAGAATAAACAGTGGATGACATTTTAGGAGCTCAACGTATGGTAGCAGCTTCTTCAATGAGCAACCTACTCCATGAAGAATGGATGCCTCCTATTAGTGAAGCTGAATTTTGTTGGGAGCTCTCAAGGTAACCTAGGACCATTTAGAATTAGAGCAATTACGGTTGGCAATGGCTTTGTTATGGCTATGTTCTCAGGACTTATAGGGATTAGAGACTCTTAAATGCAAAAACTATGGCATTATTGCATCGGATGAGGCTAGTTAAGAAGTTAGAACTTGAAAGAGTGGAGGCATGAGAGGACTCAAAGTTGGTAATATCATGGCTGCAAAGCAAAAATCAAGGAGTGTGGACACACAAACAAGCTTTTAAGGGAGATTAGAAGGATTGCCAAGGAAGGAAGCTTCCTTTTGTTGGGTTGTAATGTACCAAATTTGTCTGGACCAGGCTGATATAGGATATGTTTAGCAATAAGTGGTTTGGTAAATAAGTGCTTTTATTAGTGTTTGGGAAGTCTTTTCCCAAACTACTTATACTTAATTTAAGTACTTATTTGTGTTACGGTGTTTGGTGAGCCACTTATAAGTACTTATATTTGCACAAATGAAAATTACAGCCCTAACTTAACAAAGGGTGTTAGGATCTGTGAGTCTTGAGAAGGAAAGGGCTTGGAGAAAGGAAGAAAACGACATGGGAGAAGAGCTTAGGTGCTGGATCTGAAAACCCATCACAAATCAGGGCGTTATGATCCAAAAATGACATGGGAGAAGGAAAGGGTTTGAAGAAATGAAGAAAACTGAGCAGATACATGAAGAAAATGGGCTAAACGATGCAGCTCATGCACCTAAATCTGCGGGAGTCCTGAAAAGGTCATTGCCACTGCTCTTGGACACTCAAATTGAGAAGACGATAGGGTTCTATCATCCTTTGAAGAGGGGCAGTCCCTGGAAATTACAGAAACATGTTGGGACCTCTTTGTCCCAAAAAAACAAATAAGAATTAAGCACTTAAAAAAGCTGCCCATTCCTTGCTTATTGAATACGCACTTATTCTGGGCTTTTTTCCCAAACACGAATACACATTTATTATCCACTTATTGTGTGGTCCCAGCATGTAAGATAAGTACTTATTTCCAGTGTTCCAAAAAAGAGGCATAGCCTGGTTGTAATTCTACTTTTTCCTAATTAATGAAATTTTCTTGTTATTGATCAAAAAAAGTCATTGATTGAGGAATATGGGCATCCATTTAATTTACACCATACATATCACTGATGGAAAGATCTCTACTGAAAAATTATAGACATATGTGGAGTGAAAGGTTAGGCCCCATAACCATTAACAACAAGAGACCTACACATATTGCTCTAACGCGACACAAATCAGATACATAATCGAAGTAAATAATATGTAGGACTATTGGAATACTAAGTATTATAAAAAATGACTACAGGACTACAGATACCATTAGTGCTATTTGGAATACCAAGTGTATGTGCACATTTGTGTAACCTTCAGACTGCCATTCTAATATAATTGATTCTAGTCTACTAAGAGTACCAACAGATGACGAAGAAACATTGAAATATTCAACTGCAGTTTGAAATAGAATACTATGAATATTGCTACTGCTAAGAAATGTTACAGAACAAGATGACTTGATGAAAATAACTAAGTGTTTCTTCCCTATTTAACTTGGCATTACCTTTTTCTTTAGCCTGTCTAGCTTCATCTTTTTCTCCATAAGTTCTAAATGAATTTCCTGGTTTTGTCCCAGTAAAGGGATATGGCAAATATTTTCTGCAAGTGCAAATATGACATCAACTCATGAAACCACCAATAAATAAAATGTTGCAATGTAATATGATACTAGAGAGAATAACAATGCCCTAACCTTCTGAATCATTTTCATTTTCTGTTTCAGCAATGTACGGACAACTCATATCCTGATTATAGAAATGATATAATTCTTAGGGAAAAAGACAAAAAATAGGAGAAAAAACAAACCCATAAAGAAGTTTTAGAAAAAATCAATCTAACCAACCTCTGTAAGAAATCCATCACTATCAGAATCATCTTGCATAGTATCACTGTCATCTTCACTAACTATTGCATCAAAAGAAGTACCCTCAAAAGCTTCACCCTCGAAGTTTCTAGAAATTGTAGTAACATAATGAAACAGTTAAAGATTAAAACATGTAGCATCAACTATAGTCAAAGCATTAAGATGGGACCTAGACATTTTGGCCAGTCAAAGTGAGTCAACACTGAAGCAATAAGAGTAAAAACATATTTGTAGTTTGGCAGAAATAAAGATGTTGAGCTACTAAATTATTCACATAAAAATTGCAATAACAAGTAACAAAGAAAAAAACATTTCTTAAAACGTATTAAAACAAAATCCCGAATAATATAAAAGCACGTAGTACAAATGATGAGATAATTGAGAAAAGGTGGAGCCATGGTGCAAGAGAATCCATCTTCAGTTAGCTCAGTGTTTTAAAAGGTGCGCCTCAGGTGCGTCTAGGTGCTTTCCAGGCTGGACGTCTCGCCCAGGCTAAGGCGCACAACCATTGGACAGGTGCTCGCCTTTGCGCCTAGGCGTGCGCCTCAAGCCAGGCGACAGGCAGCCCAGGCAAGCGCCTAGGTTATGTTTAAACAATCCAACCTAAATGCAATCTCTTCCTCTCTTGTCAGCATTGCCCCATTCCATTCCAAACTTTCCACTATGTTCTTTCTCTTTCTTCCACTTGCCAAGCTATGGAAAAATCTTGTATTACCATCTCCTTCCTTCAACCACTTGCATCTTGATTTTTGTCTCCAGCTTATCTCTTCTTTTCTGAGAATTTCCTCCAACTCTTGTTTCAACTTCCATCCCTCTTCCCTTTCTTCACGCCTCAATCCTCTCTCTGCTTCAGCAACATCAAGTTCTTGAATCCTTTTACTAATACCCTCCATTCTGTCTTCAATTCTACAAAACTCTTCTTTGTTCCAAGCTTTAATCCTGATTTTTAGCTTTTCTAGCTTCTTATAAAACCTATATCCCTTCCACCTAAACTCCACCTGATCCTCTTCCCACCATTCTTTCACTTTCTTTTGAAAGTCTGGATATAACAGCCACATGTTTTCAAATCTGAAGGGGCAAGGTCCTCCTCCTAGTCTTTCTTGAGATAGTCTAACTGGACAATGATCCGACGTAGGTCTAGATAGTGCCCTCATCACCAAACCACCCCATACTTCCTCCTAGTTTGAAGAGAATAAAAATCTGTCTAGTTTACAACAAAGTGGTTCTTCCTAAAAATTAGACCAGGTAAAATCAGTTTGCACCAACGGTAGCTCCCTCAATTCAAAAGAATCCACAAAACGGTTGAACTTCCTCATACTTGAGGTGATCCTTTGGTTGGGGTTATTTGTTTCAGTTATAAACCTGACGACAATAAAATCCCCTCCCAAGCACCACGGACCCTCCCAAATCTTATAGCTGCTAATTCCTCCCAAAATTCCTCCCTTTCTCTATACGAATTTGGCCCATAAACATTTGTTAAAGCCCATTCCAATCCATCAATTCTTCTTCTAAATTTCACTATAACCGTATAGTTACCTATTAATTCTTCTGTACAGTCCAAATCCTCGTTTTTCCAAATTGTTAGAATACCCCCTTAGGCCCCCCAAGACTATGCAAAAGCCCAACTCAGTCCTCTAGCCGACCAAATACTTCTCACCCATCTCCTATCCACCTCTGACTGTTTTGATTCCTGAATCAACACAATATCTAGCTTTTTTCTTTTCTGAGCATTTCCCTTTCACTCTTCTCTTCCTGGAACTCCCCAATCCCCTTACATTCCAACTAATAATCTTCACTGAGAACCTAACTTATGAGCAACCCTAAAAACCACCTTTTGCTAACCCGACTACCTTCCTTTTCTCCCAGAACACCCCTTGTCATAGTCCACTTCACACCTCAATCTCTCCACTTCACTCAATTTCTTCTTCCTCCTTTTAGGTGTCCCACCTCCAAGCTTTTTCTTCGAAATATCTTGTTCTTCCACTTTTCTTTTTTTGACTTTTCTTCCCAATTCTTCTCTTTGTTGTTTTTTGGCCCAATTTTACCCTTTCTCCCTCCCTTCCCCTTACTTGGGAACTAGGAACTGGAGTGTTACCCTCTTGTTCCTTTTCAAAATTCTCCCCTAATTCCTCCTCTACCAACTTCTTTATCTTTTTCTTCTTCTTCTTTCTTGCAGTCTTGTTTCTTGCAAAAAACAGGGGCTACGCCCCATTTTTTTTCAGTTTTTATCATAAAAACAGGGGATCTGCACCATTTTTTTCAGTTTTTCTCGTTAAAACAGGGGCTCTGCCCCATTGTTTTTCAATTGTTATCATAAAAACAGGGGATTCACCCCAACTTTAAGTCTTGAAATTAATGTTAATAGGTCATTGGTGAGTACTTAAGAACTTGATTATTTCAGATTTTTGTTGCTATTTGACATATCAATAGGTTGTTTGCTAATCATTGAATTTAATTTGAAGTTTAGGAATATGTTTTTTAATTATACCTTCAACTTTTTTCAAAAAATTGTGTGCCTTGCCTCAAAAAGGTGTGCGTCTCTCCTTGCGCCTTGCGCCTCAGGCGCAAAATGGCCCTTGCGCCTTTTTTGTGCCTTTCGCTTTTAAAACACTGAGTTAGCTTGTATGTTGCTTTATTCACAGGGGGTATTTAGTCAATATAACTTTATTTAGAAATCATGTGAGTTTCTACTTTGAAGTAGGGCCATATGAGTTTAAAGATACTTCTGTCCAGTTGACTAATTAATACTGATTTGAGTGGCTAGAATTTATTATATAGGGTTTGAGTACACAAGTCTAGCCTACCAGATTTTATTTTCAAGATGTACTCTGAACCATACCAAATTCGGTCACCTTTATTTTCCCCACTATTTTCATTGAAAACGTGCAACCCCACTATTTTCCCCAATTTAAAATTAGAAACTTTCATAGTGTTGGAACCGATCTACAATTGCTGCAATTAAGCCTCAAAACCTTCTTTGCATAACCAATCTTTACCTTTAGTCTTCAAATCACCCTAAACCCACCCTAGCTCTCCTAGACTCACCCTTGATTCATTCAAGTCCAACATCAATTGGTATCAAAGCAGATGATCCTACACCAACTGCCATAAAAGCACCCAAACCTACACAAATTTGGTGGCAAAGGTCATACATTACCTTCCAGTATACCAGAAAACTGCATTGGCCTACCCATACCTCCATTATACCTCCACACATTCCCATTGTTGGAATACCTTTGCACAAATCCCAACAACTCTTCAACTATGCAACTCACACCAGTGTTTAGAAAACCAGATCGAACCGACCGGTTAAACTGATTGAATCGCAACTGGCATTGGCCAGTTCGATCAAACCCCTAGAAATCAAAATTGATAGAAAACTGGGCAAAAGCATCTGACCAGCCAGTTTAACTCATGAAACCACTCGGTCACTAAATAATCTAAATTTCAAAATGCTTATGGTAAGACTTCAACCCATGACCTACAATTTATGTGTTTTACTGACTTGCCATTAACCCATTTCTTTAACTGTGATAATTAATGACTCATTAATGTATATATTACTTTTTTATCAGTCTGTATATATTACTTTATTACACATATTTTACAGAAAAAGTGAGTTAAGAGGCTAAAGCGTGGTTACTTGCTTTAAAAATTAAGGAACTTGCCATCTATCCACCACATTTATATATAATATAATTTGTAAAATATATTATATAGTATTTATATGAGCTGCAGTATATATACATATATGCCACATCATCACAGTTCAACCTCTGGTTTGACCCCAATTGAACCCCTGACCTTTGAACATCACCTTTTTTCCAGTTCTTTGCCCAGTTTGGTTCTCTGAACATTGGCTCAAATCCATTACCACATTTTGCTACGCTTCCATACCTCTTCCACTACTTCCTTCTCCACCATATGTAGTCATGGTTTTAGATCTTAGCATGCTCTAATGTTAAATAAGGAATAGGACATGGAAATAGAAAGAAACAACAATTATAAGAGGATTGATTGATCTAGTGTCAATTAAGGTTTGTAAAGTAGCCCAAAACTACCTCCAATCTGTAGCTTGAAAAAAAAAAAAAAACCATAAAAAAAATTACAGAAAGAACAAGTATTTATAGTAAAAAACATCCTATATCAATTTGACAATAAGAATTAACTCATTTACCCATTGTTTTAAGCATGTAGACCCAGCTTATTTTAGGACAAAACTGTCTCTTACATAGATGTTAATAATAAAGACATAAGAAATAACAACACAAGAACCAAAAAGAAGCCACTTGAGCAGATATTGTGCACAGAGCAGGTCCACGATTACAGGTGCAGAATTCACATCAGGGAATAGCAACCCTGAAATCCCAATTGTACTTGGTATTCCATTCAAAACTCAGAAACATCACTGATCAGATCTCAAAAAGAAAAAACCCCAACTCCAACTAAGTCACTTCCAAAGGCATCTCATCCTTCTTGAATGTTCCAACTCAACCTCCACCTCCAAAGTAACATCAGCAAGCGAAATCAAATCACTTTTGTACTTACTAGTTACTACCAGATTCTGTGTCTTGGTCTAGCAGTACAGCATTGCTGTCAGAATTATCAGTAGAGATTTCAACCTGAAACCTGAAAAAATGAACAAAGAGAACAAAAGGACTTGGATGCCACCCCATAAACAAACTCCCATCAGTGTGACAATAACCCCCCTGACTCAACCTTTATGCATAAACCCCATCTCAGATAACCCCAATTATAGAAAGCCTCCAAGATAGGAACAACGTGTAGTCGGATGAAGTCTCACCACTTTGGGACCACCAATAACATCCAGCCATATGGGCTACTTAAGGACCAGGCCAAAAGTTGCAACAAACCAAGCCACAGGAAGAGACAAAGACCCTTTTTTCCAATTACCAGTTTCAATGAATTCATAACCAAAAAGGCACAAGAGAATCAAGATAATTAGCATAACCAAGGTAAAATGCCACTCCTAGTGGCAACATCAGTTACCCAAATATAAGAAACACATTGGAAATATCACATACATTGTATGGAAATAGAGTGAAAATTACAGGCATGGTAGAAACATTCTGAAATATATGTAAATATAAAATGATATTTTATTAGAAGGTAAAAAAACATAGGTACACCTTTTATGACTAGGGCTAATAGAAAAAAAAAAAAAACATTCCATAAAGTTGTCATGTAGACTTTAAGAGTTAAAGCTACACAATAGAATAAGTTCTAGCAAAGTTTGCAGATACAGAAAATGCAAATGATTATAATAGATCAACCAAACAATCGACTATCGACTACTCACAAAAACCAAGATTTAACATGTCCATAGAGAACTTTACGCTAAATCAAAGTGGTCATCATGTCCATTAGAAGGCAATAATACTGTTATTCCACATATCTACAATATTGTTGCTACCTAAAATACCATCTTGCGTACTCTGCACTGCACCAAAAGTTTTCATTGGGGAATATGTTGGTGCCATTAATATTTTGTGTTGGTTCCCATGGAAATGGAAATATTAGGAAGCATGTTGACATCTTAAACCAGGAGCCTACCATCCCCTTCTTTTTTCGTGGGGAGAGTTAAAGTGTTTACAAAGCCCTGAATGAAGAACCTACAATATGCAAAAATACTTAATTTTTAACCTCTTTGGACTCCATATCAAAAATGAAAATACTTAATATAGCTGAATATTTGTATTGTATTAAAAAAATCATACATGGAAAACTAACTGGGGATGTGATGTCTCCGAGATTCTTGAAGCATCAGGTTTAATTGTTTCAATGCTCAACCTCCCAAGCAGACTGTCAGTATATTTGTGTTGGTCCTTGTTGGTTGTCCAATAAATGAAATATAAATGGGATAATCTATGTTATTGTCACTCTCACAGATCAAAAATTGGTTTTCCTTCCATCTCATTCTAAACTGGTAAAGGTCAAATGAAGCACATTACCCACTGAAATTATTTCATTCCAGCTGTAGTAATTTGGAACATATGAAAGAAGAGAAATGCCCCTATTTTCTCACAGATAGGATTAGCTGAAAGCAATAGCCATTCAGCAGGCTGTGGAACAAATAATAACACCCCACAGTCCACACTGGTCATAAGATACATGGGGCCCACAATAAACCAACCTCTCAGTGTGGGCCCCATGTATTTTGTCACTGGTGTGGGGCATTATCATTGGTTCCACAGCCTGCTACACAGCTAAAGAATTCAGCTAATTCGAATTCATTTTCTCAAACTAGGTAGTGAAGAAAAGTTGCCAACAGAACAGTGAGGACTACAGCATCTTGGACCTTGTTCACAAAGTATTTTTTGGATTGGCTCATAGTTTGGTTTTGGTTTTTCAAAACTTGTACACAAAATATACATGGATAGAACCAGCATACCTCTACATTTCATTCTACACAATCTTTTTGTGCACGGGCTTTGAATTTATTTTAATGAAATGTACTTTACCTTTTTCAATACACACACACACATATATATATGATCTGGAGAAAGAAACCACCCTTTGAACATTTCTTTTTTATGTTTTCTATAAGCACATGGAAACAGGAATATGAATGGTCTTGAACAATACTCGGTATGATGCTTTTAAATAAAAATTTTGGAAAATGATCAAAATAAGTTGGCAACAGGAGCATCCTAATGAGTAAATGGAATTAATACAAAAAAGCCTAGCTACTAAATACCAGATATCCAAATGAAAACCTGAATTCAGTGTCAAAATAAAGGAAAAGATAGCCTTGCAATTATGTAAGGTTATGTCATGATAAGTCATATCATAGGATTGTCGTTTTACCTTCCATTAGACAGATCTATCTTTTGTCCTTGATCTTCAGCAGTATCAACATCATTTCCTACAGTAATTGGAAAATGTCAATTGTATCATAAAGTATAGTCAAAATCAGGGGGCAAGACTGGCAAGTAATCCAATTATGGAATTAATCAAGCATAACATTTTTGGGACAAGCTTGAAAATTTATAGCCTAAAGCTCAAGAAAGGCCAAATATTGGAACGTAGTTCATATAATAGTTAGTAAAGGCCATTGCTTGATATAATGGTAAAATACCAAACTGGCAAGCATGATAATGTGGGTTTAAATCTGAGAATGACCACTTTGTACAAAAGACAGTGCATTGTTCTTCTTCTTCTCCCTCTTCTCTTCTTAACCTAACTCTGGCAAGCTAAAGTCTTAGAGGAGATGGTGCAATGTTTGCCACCAACTGCAACTTCTTCAAAGATTCATGGGTCTGTTCTCCTCCTCAGAGATTCATGGTACGTGCATGCAAGTTTGGTTGGAAAGTTGGGAAGTTGGATGAGAGGATGATGACGCTAAGAGCAAATTTGGTTGGAAGACTTGTGGACCTGGACTTGGAAGCAGACGAGGTTGAAGCTTGGGCAAATCTTGAATGGGGAAAGGATAAGCTGATGGGTGCTAGGAAATTAAACAGAGGTTTGTTCCTCTTCATGTTTCATAGTAGAGAATTGGCGAAGAAGATTTTGGAAGAAGAAGTGAATGTGGTGAGGCAGGTCAATCTCAGACTTAGTGATGAGGCAACAAAAAAAGGAAAAAAAAGAAAAAAAAAAGAAAAAAAAGAAATGTGTGAATGTATTCTGTTTTGCATGTTTTCTTGTAGTAGGATCCCAAATTGTTGTTTTGGGCAGCTTTGTTGACAGTTTGGAACCAGGGGTATTTTCGTCATTTTATAAGTCAGACTTTTGGTCAGGGACAGTTGGGTGCATATCTGTTGGGTTTTGGTCTCTTGGGTCTTTTTGTAACAAAAGTTATCTTTTGAGGATTCATTTGAAGTTGGTTTGTTCTTATGGAGTTGCTTGTGAGAGGGAAACATTCTAGGGGCTTATGTGTAAATATTTTAACTGGCTTGTCCAGCAACTCAGTGAGTCAAAGAGAAGGGGGTTGTTTCTATAGGGGTCTTTTTGGTTCTTTCTCTCTTGTTTGAGTTGTAGCTCAGCCCCATCTAGGGTTTTAAAGCATTGGGAGCTTGGGTTTTGAGGAGTCGACCCATTTTGGCACCTTCCAATCCCTCCATCGCTGCGTGTCCGCGTGGGAGGCCAGCTTGCTAACATTGTTAATGTAGCAGAACTGTTCCAAGAGGGGTTTTACTTCAGGTTCAGGTCTGAAATCCCTAAAGGTCCAACTTATTTTGCTGTTTTCAGCTTGGCATTTCTTGTGCTTATTGATGTATACTTGAGGTACTGCATGTATTTGTCTTTCTGTCCACATCACTTAGGTGGGGGTCCCCTGCGGCAAGTACATTAAGTGAAGAAGGAGAAGCAAATTGAGGAAGGTATGAAATTTCAGGTTTGAGAATATGAGGCTGTCCCACCCCGGTTTTGTTGAGATGGTCAAATCTTTGTGGAACGGTAGTAATCCACGGGCAAATTGGGAAGGTATGAAAATCCATTGGAAACTAAAGGAACTGAAAGGAAAGATCAAAGATTGGAACACCCTTTAGTACGGATGGCAACTTTTCCCGTAAAAATGGGGCCCCGCCCCGCCTCGAATTTGAGCGGGTTTTCCCCGATCATAAGCAAGGACAGAGCGGGGATGGGGAAGATACTTTTGCCCCGAACAAGGGACAGGTTTTGCATATAATTCCCTGAACTCGCCCTGACCCAATATTAAATTATTAAAATATGCCTAGGTTTAACATTACTTTCTAAAATATCTTTAAATTTTCCCCAAATTCCAAAAACCTTTAGGATCCAATAATTTAATGTTTAAAAACCCCTAAATTCCCATAATATAATTTCCAAAATACCCCATATATTAGGCATTGACTCGAGACAGGGAAAATTCAGGGATTCCCCGTCCCCGATAAGGAGGTGCCCCACCCCGCCACCAAGGATGGGGTGGGCACAGGGTAAGGGACTTTGGCTACGGAGCGAGGACAGGGAGGGGGTGCTCCGCCCCATTGCCATTCCTACCCTTCAGTTTGGTAGAATTGAGGAAAGAAAACAAGGAGTGATTAGCAAAATTGAGGAGTTGGATGCTAAAGAAATGGGAGGCACCTTGAGGAGAGAGAGATAAACTGGAGAGGTGGGAGCTTAGGAAACAACTAGAGGATATTCTCTATCATGAAAATGTAAGTTGGAGGCAAAAGTCTAGGAACAAATGGGTGAAAGAGGGAGACAGGAAAGCTAAGTTTCTTCATGCAATGGCTAATGGAAGGAGGAAGAAACTTATTTCTAAACTAGAGGTGGGAAGGGTGGTTCTTACTCAATAGGATGAGATTGCTAGGGCCTTTGTGGAGCATTTTAAATTAATCTATAGAAAACCTTTAGATCAGAATTTTTGGTTGGAAGGTCTAGATTGGCCTAAACTTTCAGAGGAGAACAAGGTATGGTTAGAAAGGAGGTTTGAGGAGGAAATAAGGGGAGCAATACTTGCAATGGACTGACCCAAAGCACCAGGGCTGGATGGATTTACTATGGCTTTTTATCAGGATTGCTGGGAGATTTTGAAATAGGATATCATTAAAGTGTTTGAAGAATTTTTTTGATAGGGGTATTAAATCCAAGGTTGAACTCAATGTTTTTTGAGTTAGTCCCAAAGAAGGGTGGAGCATGTCATCCAAGAGAGAAGAGACTTCAGACCTATCAGCCTAGTGAATAGTTTGTATAGATTGTGGCTAAGGTCTTATCTTGAAGAATCAGAGAGGTGCTCCCTAGCATAATTTCACAGAATCAAGGGGCCTTTTGGGCAAGAGGCATATTGTTAATCAAATTTTAATTGCAAACGAATGTGTGGAGGAGGTGAAAAGAAGAAGCACAAAAGGGATTGTATGTAAGTTGAATTTGGAGAAAGCTTATGATATCGTTAATTGGTCCTTCTTGTTGCAAGTGATGAATTGTTTTTTCTTTGGAGAGAAATGGTGTAAATGGATTTTGGGTTGTATTGAGACTTACCACTACTCAATCTTGGTGAATGGGATAGTAATGGATCACTTTCTGATTATCTGGGAAATTAGACAAGGTGACCCTCTTTCTCCATTTCTATTTACCTTGATTGCAGATGTGTTGGGGAGGCTAATAGAGAGGGTAGATTCAAGGAACCTAGTAAGGGGATGGAGGGTTGGAAGAGATGGAATACCTATCACACACCTACAATTTGTTGATGACACAATTCTTTTCTATGACAAGGAGGAGGTGGGGTGGGTTAGGAATTTGAAGATGGGAGAGCAAATTTTTGAGAAAATGTCAAATCAGATGGTGAATTTTGACAAGTGTTTTGTAGTGGGGATCAACATGGAGGAGAGTGCTATGACAGAAAGGGCTGAAATTTTGGGGTGTGAGGTTTCCCAATGGCCCTTGAAGTATTTGAGGATGCCTCTAGGGGATAATCCGGGGAACAACAGCTTTTAGAGCCCAGTAGTTGACAGATTCACAAAATGATTGGCTTCCAGAAGAAGAATTACTTATCTTTGGGTGGCAGAATCACTTTGATAAAGTCCACTTTGGTTAGTTTGCCAGTATACTATCTATTTGTATTTAGGATACCAGAGGGAGTAAGTAAAATTTTAGAGAAACTGATGAAAGACTTCTTGTGGGAGCCGAGGGAGGACAAGAAAGACCATAGGGTGAAGTGGGAGATAGTTTCTAGGCGTGGGGAGGAAGGAAGCTTGGGACTAAGTACCATTTGGAAAAGAAATGAAGCATTGTTGGGAAAGTGGTTATGGAGGTTAGAAGAAGACAAAGATAAGTTGTTGGCTAAAGTAATACTGAGTATACATGGGCTTGCAGATGATGGGTGGGACTCTGGACTGGTGGCAAGGACTACCAGAGCCTTGCCTTGGAGATCCATACATGTCAATCTCCCTTTTTGCAACATATTAGGTATGATCTTTGTTCTGGTAACCAGGTGAAGTTCTGGAAAACCTTTGGGTGGGAGACGTATCATTAAAAGATAAAGTTCCCTCTATTTTCTCTCCCAATTTAAAGGGGAACCTGTGATTTCCTTTTTGGTCCCTTCTGAGTCCAATTTTGGTTTTGATTGGGATTTGGGTCTTAGAAGAAGCCTTAGGGATTCAGAACTTAGGAACGCTTTGGAGTTAGTTCAGATCTTGAATGGGGTGGTATTGGACCCTTCAAAAAGGGATAGTAGGATTTGGACCTTATCCCCCTCTGGTGTCTTTTCTTGTGCCTCCTTCTTCAAGTCTATGATGCACCCCGCCAACAGTAGATTTCAAAATTTCCCAGTGAAGGAAGTTTGGGGTAAACCAATCCCTCCAAGGATTGGAGCTTTTTGTTGGGAAGCCTCCTTGGAAATACGCAATACATGTGATATACTCCAAAGGAAAAGACCTAATAGGTGCTTGTCTCCAAATTGGTGCATCCTATGCAAGGCCAATGGTAAAAGCCCCTACCACCTACTAATTTCTTGCTCTTTTGGTTTTGATATTTGGGTTTGGTTTATGGATTTATTTGAGTACAGGTGGCTCCCTCCTCCAAGTATACAAGGCTTGTTTGCTGCTTCTTTCTTGAGGTGGCCAAAGAAAAGGGGTAAAATCATGTGAAGATGTGTGAGAGCTGCCATCTGTTGGCCTTTGTGGGAGGAAAGGAATCTAAGGACCTTCTCTTGAAAAGTAAGAAAGAAAGAAGAGCTGATTGAGGTCATAACAGTTGGGGTGATGCAATGGCTGAAAACTTTGGACCTGTTTGTTGATGTCTCCACAGGTATGTTGATTAACAATTGGAAGGAAGTGGTATCCTCTATGTCGGCTAAGTCATTGGTATATCCTTTGTGGTCACCTCCAGCCCCAGGGTTAATAAAGTTAAACTTTGATGGGAGTAGTGAAGGCAATCAAGGACCCTCAGGTGTTGGAGGTGTAATAAGAGATGAAAAGAAGTTGGATTAAGGAAGGAAAAGGAGTTGGATATTCAAAAGTTGATTATTGAAGGAGACTTACAGCTACTGTTAAATTAGTTAAGGGTAATGTTTTTGGATCTAGGCTAATGAGAGGAGGGAGGTTAAGTGGTTAATGAGGGGAGTGGAAATTCAGGTTCATTGGGTGAAGAGAACTGCAAATGCGTTTGATGATAACTTGGCAAGCATGGGGAGGGAAGGGGTCAATTGTTTTGGGCAACTTTGTAATTTCCTTTTGGTTCTCTGGGGAGAGATAAGTCATTTTATCTCTCCCTAGAGTATGTAATCTTGATTTCTATTAATAATATAAATTTCAGTTATTGATCAGAAAACAGATGATGAGGTGGGGGTGATAAGAGTAGAGGTGGAATATTGGGAGGAAGGGAGGAAGGGAGGAGGTGGAAAAGAACAGGGGTAAACACGTGGAGGGGGTTGAGGTTAGGAAAGAGGAAGGCCAAAAGATGTGGCCCGAAAATAAGGGAGACAAATGGGCTCAAGAGGCAAGGGTGTTAGTTAATGGAGATTTGATCTGGTGTGGGGCCTGCATGAGTAGCGATGGGTCGATTTTGGTCACAATGGCCTTAGACCGAATGGGTTGACGATTAGAAGGGGTATTATTGGATCACCAACTTCAAATTCCTCACCCACCTGATATCACCACCTTCACAAACTGTCAATGATTTTGAACCCTCTATCCCTACCAACTCCCCACCCCCTCAATTAGCTTACCTAGAACTTCAGCAATTCAACTAAAAAGGAAAGGAGAGAGTGTGTCCCCTTGTCTACTTCCACTAGTGGCTAGAAAACAACCCACTACAGTTCCATTCACCAAAATAGAGTAGTGGCAAGTCCTAATGCATCCTTGAACCCACTTAAACCATCTCTCACCAAATCCAAATTTTTCCAACACTTCCAGCAAAAAAGACCAATCAACCATATCATAAGCCTTCTTATAGATCCAACTTGCAAACCAAACCCTTCTTTCCAACTATTCTCAAATCCTCCACACTTTCATTATCAATTAAAATCCAATCTATGATTTGTTTATTCCTTACAAAGGCACCTTAATTAAGGGAAGTAATGTTAAGGAGCACTACTCTAATCCTCCAAGAGAGCACCTTAGCAATAATTTTTTATTAGTTTTTTACCAGGCTTATAGGTCTAAGGACATGTTTGGGAGTGCTTAAAAATATGTGCTTATTTGGGCGAGGACCACACCATTAAGCACTTTTTGGTATTTGGGAAATAAGCCTGAAATAAGTACTTATTTTAAAAATAATAGCATATTTTTTATGCCCACATTTCCAGTTTTTTTTAAGTGTTCATGCAATAAGCACTTATTCAATTTTTTTCTCCCATAATTGTCCCTAGTGAATTTTTAGAATACCAATTATACCCTTTTACAAAAAAAATTTACAAAGGCACTTTTATAAAAAGTAATTTTATGAAAAGTAATTTTACGAAAGTATTTTTGTGAAAGCACTTTTACGAAAGTCTTTTATGAAAGCACTTTTACAAAAGCACTTTTGTATAAAGTACTTTTACATGAAAGCACTTTTATAAAAGTACTTTTAAGAAAGCACTTTTGTTAAAATACTTTTACATGAGTACTTTTAGAAGAGCACTTTTACGTAAGTACTTTTATAAAAGCACTTTTACGAAAGCACTTTTATGAAAGCACTTTTACGAAAACACTTTTATGAAAGCACTTTTATAAAAGTACTTTTACGGAAGTACTTTTATAAAAGAACTTTTACGAAAACGCTTTTATAAAGGCACTTTTATGGAAATGCTTTTATAAAGGCACTTCTATGGAAATGCTTTCATAAAAGCACTTTTATAAAAGCATTTTATGGAAGTACTTTTAGGAAAGCACTTTTATAAAAGTACTTTTATAAAGCACTTCTATCAAAGTACTTTTATTCATTCACTTTGGATTGGATATTTTGAAAATTTGAAAGAAAATAAAGGACAAAAGAGTCACAATTGCTTATTTAAGTGATTGGAGAAAAAGAACACCAAATGTCTAATATAAAATAAGTGCTTGTTTTGAAAAAGTAGGGTGCCAAAAGCAAATAAGTGTTTATTCGAATAAGCACTTATTTTTAACATAAGCACTCCCAAACATGGTCCTTCTCTTAGGTGACTTGCACCACTCTTTTTTGGGACCAAAGCAATGAAACTTGAATTCTAACTGGAATTTATCACCCTTTCCCAAAAAAATTCATTAGAAACCCTTTGAATACCATGCTTGAGTATGTCTCATCAGTCCCGATAAAAAGCCATTATAAATCCATCTGGACCAAGTGCATTGGACCTATTCATAATTCCTCCACCTCAACATTCTTTTCAAGCCATAATTTAAGGTCCTCAAGTAATTTAGGCCAATCCAACCCTTCTAATCTCATTCTATCAAGTAACGATCTAGAAATAAATTTGAAATTATCCATAAAGGCCCTACTATCTCATTCTGTTGAGTGAGTATTACCTCATAAACCATAAAGTTAGAGATAAAATTTTTCTTTTTCTACTCCCATTTTACTAAGAATGAAAAAACATTGTATTTCTATCCCCTTCCCTCACCCATTTGTCTGGACTTGTCTCTAACTAATTTCTTCTTCAAACAGGATATCCTCCAGTTTCTTCCTTAACTCCCATCTTACCTCCCTATCCCTTCCTCAAAAGTCCCCTCTCCTTCCTTAGCATCCAAATCATCAATTTGGCTAATCACCTCTTGTTTCCTTTCTTCTATTCTCCCAAATTGCTAAGCGTTCCATTCCTTTATTTTTGCTTTTTGTTCTTTTAGCTTCCAATGGAACTCCATCCCCTCTCATTTTACCAGGGATTACTTTCATTCTACCAATCCTTTACTTTCTCTACAAATCCCAAATGACAACCACATATTCTCAAATCTAAATAGGGTTAGGCCTCTACAACCTAACTCCTTACTAATGGAAATTGGCCAATGATCAGAAGTTACCCTAGGTAAAGGCTATAGAAACTAGATCTCCCCAATGTTCCTCCCAATTTGCAGTGAATAAGAATCTGTCAAGCTTTGAGCAAATTGGAATTGCCTAAAGGTTGGAACAAGTGAAGCTATTATGCAAGAGAGTCAACTCTTTAAGCTCATGGTTGTTGATGAACTCATTGAACTTCCTCATACATGTAGTGATTCTTTGATTCTAATTATTTGTCTCCTTAGTGAACCTAATTACAATGAAATCCCTACCTATACCTACACACCAGGGTCCCTCCCAAAGTCTTCTGATGTATCCCAACTCTTTCCACATCTCATTCCTCTCTCTATATCCATTAGGACCACAAATATCTATCAATACCCATTCAAAGTCATCAGCCACTTATCAAAACTTAATGGACACTATGAATTTACCAACAAGTTCTTCAAATCCCTCGATGACCTCATCTCTCCACAAGGTCACTATGCCTCCCGAGGAATCCCATTAAGGACTCGTTTCCCAACTAATTCCCCTATCCCTTCACAAGATTCTAGTCCACCTGTTATCAAGGTCTACCTGGAAAAAAGGCATTATTCCTAAACATGACTTGTAAAAAGCCTATGATCTAGTCAATTGGACATTTTTAATTGAAGTCTTGATTCAATGTGGGTTTGGAGAGAGATGGTGCAATGCAAATGGATATTCGGATGCTTGAGAACTTGTCATTGTTCAGTGCTAGTAAATGGCACAATGGTAGATTTCTTTTTGGCTAGGCATCGAATAAGACAAGGAGACCCCCTTTCTCCCTCTTTGTTCACTTATTGTTGATGTCCTTAGCAGAATTATACCGAGGGCAAACTTGAGGGGAGTAGTGCAAGGGTGGAGAGTAGAAAGAGATGGAGTGCTAATTACCCACTTACAGTTCGCAAATGATACCAAACTTTTTTGTGAAGGAAATGAAGTGGATTGGAGAAAAAATTTTAAGCTTTTGGTGCAGCTCTTTGAAAGAATGTCAAATTCAAAGAAAAACTTTGAAAAAAGCTGCATAGCTGGAATTAATATGGAGGATGGAGAAATGGCAAAGTGTGCAAACATCTTAGGTTTTGGAATTTAGTGATGGAAAGATGTTATAAAAAGCTTGTTTTCTAGAGGATATCTCTAGGAGGCAGAATCACTTTGATTAGATCAACTCTAACCAGCTTACCAAGATCCTAGCAAGTGTATGCAAAATCATAGGGACTTCTTGTAGGAACAGGGGGGAGAGAAAAGAGATCATTGGATAAGTAGGGAAGTGGTATGCAAAGGTAAAAAATAAGGGAGTTGGAATTAAGGATCAGACAGAAAATGAACACAGCTCTCTTAGGAAAGTGGTTGTGGAGAATGCCTCCATGGTTTCAAATGTCACTAATGTCGCCTAACATATGTCGGTGTCAAGGCTCACCGACATGAAAATGGATGGTAATATAAAAATTACATTATTTCGGTTGACATTTCCTATATTTCGAAAATGTCGACCAAATCGGTCCAAATAACCAAAAAAAAGACAATTTTTCCTATTATGTCGACAGGATGTCAATAATGTCGAGAGGATGTCGACTAATGTACATTTATAATATAATATATTAGTATATTATAT